GTGCGTTCCACAAGTCCTGCTGATTGCGGGTGGTACACACAGTGTCTCTTTAAATCAATGTTCAACAATTCGCTTGTTTTGGTAACAGCTTTGTTCACAAAATGTGTCCCATTGTCTCTTCTAATAACAGATGAGATACCAAAAGTTGGAATAATGCGTTCACATCATGCTTTCACGACAGTTCGCGGATCATTGCGGGCGCTCGGAAACGATTCAACCCATTTTGAAAACACATCAACAATAACAAGACAGTATCGTTTCCCTTTTGTTTTGTTCAGTTCAATATAGTCCATGTGTATTGTGTGAAATGGTTCTGGTAGGTCTGGGAATCTTCCCCTTTTTGGTCTCAAATAGCCTTGTGCATTGTTTTTCAAACAGATTATACGTCTGCAAAAATTTTTCGAAAAGTGTGTAAACCCATGTATGTGATAATATTGGTGCACCTGTGCAATCATCCCTCCCGTTGACACATGTGACAAACCATGTGTCATCCTCGCGGCCCATAGAAACAGAGAATTCGGGAGCCATGGCTTTCCGTCTGCCAATTTCTCTCTTCCTGTGTCATCCCGTTTTGCTCCCTTTTTTTCCCAATATTGTTCCGTGTGAGGTGCTTGTTTTTGCCGTGATTTCAAAATGTCCTGTGTTGTGTTCTGTGTCTCTATTGTAAACATGTCCTATGCTAATGTTTTGTCATTCGGGGACTCTTGTTGAGCTGCCTGTTTCGCAGCATGATCCGCCAAGCGGTTGCCAATGTTGATTGGATCATTACCTGTCATGTGTGCTTCACACTTGCAAATCGCAATTGTTCTCGGCAGCTGTACTGCCTCCAGCAATTATTGGAGTAACAATTTGTGGGCTACTTCTTTACCAGTTGTGGTTTTAAACCCATGAGCCGACCATAGTTGACAAAACACACACACAGACCGCCAGCAATATTGGCTATCAGTCCAAATAGTTACATCCTTCCCTTAAAACATTTTGCATGCTTGAATCAATGCTGATAATTCAGCTGCTTGTGCTGAGTAATTCGACATTAATGTTCCTTGAAACAAAATCTTTGTCTGTGTTGTAACTGCAAATCCCACTTTATTGCGGCCATCCCCCCCTTTTTTAGCTGAACCATCAACAAGACAACTTCACCAGTTGGGAGGGGCACATCAGTCAGATCGGGTCGCGATTTGGTGGAAATTTGAACTTGGCTCCCATCAGTTTTTTTGTCTGTGGTTTTGGAGCTGCAGCGACCGCTTTTTTCTGTCTGTCTCCCACAACGCTCCTCTTTCGGAGAGCGTGTGACTGAGATACACCACTTGTTTCTTCCAAAGTTGCATTTTATTTTTTGACACTTTATTGGTCGTTTCTCACAAATAATAGAGCAAGGTATAGTATCGACTCTGCATTGCTCTTTAGATGTGGATGCGACCAAGAGGTCATCTACGCAGATTATAATTTGGCTATCCTGTGGGGCAATAAAGGAGGCCAGGCAGCGCGCAATGGCCTCAGAGAAAATGGTTGGAGAATCACAAAAATCTTGTGACAGTCTGGTAAAAGTTAATTTTTCCCCTTTGAATGTAAATGTGAACAAATGCTGGCTGTCGGGATGCACTGGAATGCTCCAAAATGCATTACTCAAATCAATAACAGAAAACCATTTCGATTCCGGTCGGAGTGAATTTTAACAGTATATGTGGATTGGGGACGTTTGGTGCCCTCTTTTGTACGGCCTGGTTCACTGCTCTCAAATCTTGTACCAATCGCCACTTGTTGGTTTGCGCTTTCGTACCGGAAATATCGGTGTGTTGCACGGGGAATCGGAGCATGGTTTCAATATAGCCGCCTTTCGCAACACGCTGATTATTGGTTGAATTCCCTGTTCAGCATCTTTTTTCAAGGGGTATTGTCTTATGATTGGCCTGTTTTCTGGTTTCTCAAGAATGATTACTGGTGGAGCATCTTTAATTAGGCCCACATCTGCTGGTCCTGTGCTCCACAGTGTGGGTAGGAGGTGCTCAATGGCCTTCTCCTCCTCTGTAGTTAGTACATACAGTATGTGTCAATTTGTCAGCTGAAATGAACAGCTGGAGTAGTCATTACCTTCCAATTGATTGGCCGCCTCAACCAGCCGTACTCTGTTTCATCACATCCCGTAAGCTGGGGGTGGGGGTGGGGGGGGGGGCTCCACGTGTGTTGTGGAACAGAGCCGGCAAGATTATTTGTCTTCCCAACCGCATTGGTGGGGCTTGCCCAGCGAGACGTATGTGCGGCCCGGGTGGAAGAAGCGACTTGACTGCCTCCCCCACCCTCGCTGTGGCGAAACACCACCAATTTTTCCAATATATATGATCAATGACAATAGTCTGTGGCTCCAGGCCTAGAAAAACCTTCGTGTAGTCTGGGTCTGGTCCTGATGTCTGCTTAAATCGCACAGTCACAAGCAGGTTGTCTGTTGTTAGCATGCTTCCTCCTGGTAGTACTTTTGTAGTTGCCAATTGAGTAAGACATTTTGAACTTTGAGTTACATCATTAGTCGGCAAGTCAAGGGTCCAAAAATGAGTGTCTTGACCATTTCCCATGTGGGCTTCAACCTGACCCCTGCGATTCACTCTGGTGTAAATCTCGAGTTGTGTCTGAGTGTCTCGTCCTAATAAATTATTTGGACAGCGAAAATGCAAAAAGACTTCCACAAAAGCCTTTCTCTCTGCGTCTGCGGGAGAGGCAATGGTCACTGTCTGTGATAATGGTAAGGGGTGCACAGAACCATGTGCTCCCTTCATGCAAACTTTATTTTTTCCTGGCTTCACTGTGTCATGATCCCAGCGGCCCAGCACTGTTATATCGGCTCCTGTATCAACAAGGAAAACAGTCTCGATTCCCTGTACTAACAATGTCATTTCCGGTTTAGCCATGGGAAAGGTTTGATGTCTGAGCAAGTAATTTTCTGTGTCAAAAATATAATTACTGTCGGCTAGAATCACCTTCATCCTCACTCAAAGGTGCAGAGGCCGTGACAACTGCATCCTCTGTGTTCTTCCATGTTGGTCATGCTTCATCGTCTGAGGAGGTCACAGCGCCGTCATTGTTCTTGCGCACATGCCTGTCCTTCCTCGGTTGCCTACAGTCTTTTACCCTATGACCTTTTTTCACACAATTGAAACATTGGCCCTCTTTCAAGAGTTGTAGTTGCTCGGGAGTCAATTCGGAGGAATCAAACGTCTTTTTTTTTTTTTTTTTTATAACGCGGACCTTTCTTGGCGTTTTCGACTTTGTCTGCATAGTAAATATTAGTCATGTGACTCTCAATCTTCTTTGTTTTGTTCTCAAATCACTCGAAATTCCGTGCATAATTCAAAACGTCATCAATCTGACATGTTGGCCAATTGAGGTTATGTTTTTTAACATATTGAGTCACATAAGGATGAGCGGCCGGTACATCTAGGACTAGTCCCAAGTAGAAACAAACAACCATTTGTGTGTCTTTGTACATGTTATGTTTTGTGTTAATGTACACTGCACCCTAATCATCCTCTTAGTCTCATTTTCACAAAAAATACTTAAAAATTCAAATAAAATAAAATAAAGCAGGTAAATCTGTAACCTAGGGTGGCGCGTGACCTACGTCACCGGAAGTTGTTAGCGCTCAAGAGTCTGCAATTGCAGCTTGTGATCAGAGCTGTTGCGCTTCTTTTATTCTTCTCATTCAGAGTTTGCTTCGTGTACAATTCACCGAGGGCACGGGCAAAGAATAGGAATCTAGAGGGCACAGGGAAGCACTTTAAAACAATACGTTTGAGCTACGATAGTTAACAGGCTGCAAAAGTGCATCGCATGCCTCTGTGTCAGGCTGTTTCTCATCATGGCGTGCGTGCATGCCTGCGTGTGCGTGTGCGTGTGTGTGCATGTGCGTGTGCGTGTGTGTGTGTGCGCGCGCGTGTGTCCGTGCCCGGTAAGGGGCGATCGCGCGAGGGTGGTTGATTGAAAAGTCGATCTTCGGTCCAACAAGTTTGGGGACCCCCTGCTTTAACCCAACGTTCCATGAATGAATCCTCATCCAGCTTTGTTTTTTTCTGCCGTTTTCTTAACTCGCTTTTGTCTGGCCATATTAACAAGGATTTGACACTTAAACAATTGTTTTCCGTGTTCATTAATTTTCCGCTTTTCTTTGTCTTTCAGCGACAATTTGCTTAACGTTTCCAATTCATCACAATCATCGACATCGCCTGAAAAGCCGTATTCATTTTTCCATTTTTTCACAGACTGTGTCGACCCTTTACAGTCTATCTCAGCCAATCGTATTTTTTCAACGAATGCTTCTTCATCGTGATGCGCTGTCGTCTCGTGTTTTTTAATTCGTCCCCAGCGACGGGAAGACCGCGTCGCCATGTTGGTGCCAAGCAACGAACGAAAGTATTCACGGGAATTCACAGGAAGTTGCACTCTCGCTCTGGTATGTTTTGTCAAAAAAAAAAAATGCTACGTACCCGCGCCGAATTAAATATTCACTATCACTATCGACCTCCTTGTGGGTCCTGGCCTTGCCGTGGCAAGGAGGCTTGTGTGTGTCAATGATCCGGAGAGCGTTACCGTCTGGAGCTTGCTGCAGCTAGGGTCTCCCTTGGCGGGCCGGTCTTCCGGGGAGGTTCCAGACTAACAAGGTCCCGACGGTGTGTCGGTACACCGCTAAGATGGCAGCCCCATCATCTGACTATCCTGCAGAGGGCCAACAACCCACTCAGGAGAAATTTTTTGTTACGAAACCGACCAGAAGAAACCGGAGTGCCCAAACCAAGACTAGACATAGGAACGCCCCCGACCAACGAGTAAGGATTGACCTCCGCCTCAAGACGCGTATTGCTACATGGAACGTCCGAATGCTTCTTCGGGCTGGAGCTCCTTCACTGCTGTCCTTGGAGCTCTCCCGCTACAAAATCACCATTGCGGGTCTATGTGAATCAAGGTGGCAAGGGAGCGGCGAAATTACAGCAGGAGAATACTGCTTTCATATGGAGTGGCCCTGAAATTTGGACGGGCCTCCATGGAGTCGCGCTGGCCATGTCCAAACATACACGCCAATCACTTATCAGCTGAATCCCAATTAACGATTGTCTCCTGTCTGCACGGTTCCTCCACCTACATGGCAAGATGACAGTGATCGTTGCTTACGCCTTCACAGATGTCGCCAATGATACAGTGAAGGACACCTTCGACCAACTCCATCAGGTCGTTAGCCAAGCCCCACCACATGACATTGTCATCAACCTCACCGACGCCAATGCAACCTTCTCTTCCTCCTCCAGAGATGGACCATCTCACCAAACCCCCACACAACCCATTGGCACTACCTTTGTTGACAACACCACAAATGATAACGGCAAACGTCTGCTTCTCCTCTGCCATTCAAATAACCTCTGCATCACCGACACCTGGTTCCCTCCAAGCAGATCCATCACTGGACCTGGTATAGTCCTGATGGAAGAACCCGGAAGGCGATAGACCACATCATCATCTCCCGCCGCTGGCGATCCTCCGTCACCAACTGCAGGGTCTTCAGAGGAGCACAGCTGGGCAACACAGAACACCGCCTGTTGGTTGCCCAGCTGCGACTTAAAATACGAGCAGACCCATCTACCAGGCCACAACCACGCTTAATGTCTTCCAGACTCTGTGACCCCACCACTGCCTCTGCATATCGCCGCTCCATCACCAATGCCTTCACCGCCCTGGCCGATGATGACATCGTGGACTGGGAGACTTCCAAACTAAAGGTCAACCAGTCTGCCCAGGATGTATTGGGAAGATCAAGATCTCTTCCCAAACAACCATGGATCTCACAGCTGACCCTCAACATCATTGACCGCCGCCGTGATGCCCGCCTGCGCGGTGATATGACAGAGTACCTGAGGCTGAATGCAGCACGAAATGCAGCAATTGCAACTGACAGGGAGAGGTGCTGGGGAGAAGAGGCTGAACGCCTGGAATCAGCAGCATAGAGCAATGACCTCAGACAGGTCTTTCGAATGCTGGGCCAAGCCCGTATCAGACCACGCATCAAGACCGTCCTCATGAAGGATGCCAGTGGAAATCGCATCACCACAGAAATAGACTGCCTTGAACGCTGGAAAGAGCACTTCAGCAACCTCCTTCATCATACTCCATTTCCTACCAACCCCCATCTTGTTACTGCTGCCAACTCCACCACCCCCAAACCCAACTGCAAAACTGACCCAGTGACAATCGATGAGGTCAAAGCAGCAATAAAAAAAATCTCAAAAATCACAAGGCCCCTGGAATCTGTGCCATCACTGCAGAGCTGCTCAAAGAAGGGGGTGACTCCATGGCCCAGTGGCTCACCCATATCATTAACCACGTGTGGGTGGCAGAACAACCCCCCACAGACTGGACCCGGGGCATCAGTCTGCCATTCTGGAAGCGGAAAGGTGACAAGCAACTCTGCAACAACTACAGAGGCATCTCACTGCTCTCCATACCTGCAAAACTGTTCACCCGTATCCTTCTCACCCGTGCTCTTCCTGCCATTCGGCCATCTCTGCTGGCTTCATGCCCAACCGGTCCACTATAGATCACATCTCCGCAATTAGACTCATTGTTGAGAAGGTCAGAGATTTTCGGAAGGACCAACATCTCTTTATAGCCTTTATAGATCTTAAAGCTGCCTTTGATACAGTTGACCACCTCTCCCTTTGGAACATTCTGAAATACCTTGGAGTGCCACCCAAAATAACCATATTGTTCCAGCGATTCTACAACAACTCAGAGAGCTGTGTTCGTGTGAATGGGAAGGACTCAGAGTGGTTCCCCATTAACAGTGGGGTCGGACAGGGCTGCGTGGCCTCTCCTGACCTTTTTAACTGTGTCATTGACCACCTTATGATCCGAGTCCGACAGCAAGTCTCAGGCATGTCGTTTGGCAACTTCCACCTGACCAACCTTGAATACGCTGATGACACCACCCTGTTCAGCAACTCCCTCCAAGACCTCAGCAGTGCTCTCTCCATATACCAAACAGAAGCAGCAAAGCTGGGCCTCCAAGAAAGATGGCAGAAAACCAAAGTTATGTATATCGGTGACAGACTACACCCTTCCCCCCTGTTTTTTGGCACAGACGAAGTACAATTCATCAATTCGGTCATCTACCTGGGCTCCACCATTACAAGCAGCGGCGATCTCAAGTGAGAGATTGACCGCAGATGCGCCCTCGCAGCCGCAGCTATGCAGCCACTGTGGCAGCCCCTCTGGCGCCACCATTCAGTGTCCCAAAAGACTAAGATGCGCATGTATAACTCAGCAGTTCTTCCCATCCTCTTGTATGGTGCAGAATCCTGGCCTTTAAACAAGACCCTGGCCAAGAGGATCGATGGCTTTGACAGCAGGTCACTCAGAACCATCTTGAACATCAGCTGGCACCTCTATGTTGCCAACATAGACCTCCGAAAACGTACACTTCAGCCTTCTCCATCCCGACTGGCCGCTCAGAGGCGCATCCGTTGGCTTGGACATCTCTTCTGATTACCCCTGCAGTGATAATTTTACAGTTTACCCGTAGCGAGTCCCAGGGACTCGCTGATCAGAAAAGTATGAGTCCCATTATGCATTTAGAGAATCCCAAATTTCGAATTCTAAAATGGTCTAATTATTCAATTGCATATAATAACACAAACAACAACATATCCATACAATTATAAACAAATGCTGAAAAACTTTAAATAATTCAGTAGCAGGCCTGAGGATTTCGGAAAAATTCACGGTAAACGTTTTTCGGTTCTGTCGGATTACCCAATGGGAAACCACAGCAACTCATTTTGGGTTCCGTAAACGTTCATCATGGGAACCCATTTTTCTATTTTGACTGATATTCATAATCAAGAATTCTGAAACTAAAAATTATAATCTTTCAAGGGTAAATGTTTGAAAACTATGCATTAACAATGAACATGACATCAGCAGCTGTGTACTCCAGGTTTATTAAAAAAAATTTATGGATCAAAAACTGGTGTGCTCATATGGCATGATGAATACAGCATACCACAAAATCTGAGTATTTTTTCCAGTCTCACACTGCAAAGATTAATTTACTGGTAATCATTAATACAGGTACGTATTGATGTGGCTTGACATCCTCTTCCCAAGACGATGCATGTGTAATCTACTATAAATTTGACGAAAGAATCTAACACACGTCATGATTAGTTCTACCAACAATTTTTCATAGCGATTAGCCTACAGATATAATGACCAACTTGCCTCGTAATCGTGCCTCTCGTCGTATCTAGCTCTCGTGTTCCTTTGCATACATCACAGGTGAGTTTAGTGGTACGCCCTTCAGACGATTCATATGAAAAATCAGACTGGCATTCCCATTTCTTAAATGTCGTAATTAGTAGATCTTTGTGAGTTTTTTTCGCCGCCATCTCAAACTTTCATCCACATGATTCCTCTGTTTGCAGACTAAAACACTGAAAACAAAACGAAAGTAAATTAGAAGAAACACACACCACACCACAAACACACATACAGGCACAGGTGAAATTGCGTTGATCACATAGGAGAGATTTGATCGCGTACAGTCAACTCATGTCGGGAGACTTTTATGGTTAAATGATTTTTTGGTTCCGTTAAAATGACGCCACGGAAACGACACGCTACCAGGAACGATCGTTACCGTGAAATCCTCAGGCTTGCCGTAGTTTTTTTTGTTTTGTTTTGTTTTGACTGAGAAATTTCCTTGCGTCCCAAAAACGCACATTATTTGGAACTGTGCGTCCCACGGGAAAATTATGCGTCTAGCACGCGGGACGCAGAGGTAACGAGGTGGCTGCACCTGGAGTAAACAGATTTAGAAAAATGTTATCAAAGCATCAATATCATGACGATAAATTCCTCAGATTTTCTCAGACAGTCCAAAGGTAATAATTCACGCATTGAGTATCAATTTAAGGCTATTATAATCACACGGAAGAAAATAAACATTTGTTCCACACAATAGCAATTTGAGTGCAAAATTAGCAGTCTATTCGTATTCGTATTTTAAAATTTGAGTTGCCTCCGCATCGCAAGAGCATTTATTATTATTATTGTTATTATTATCATTATCAACCGGAGCGAATTATTCGCAACTTCCTTATAATAATAATAATAATAATAATACATTACATTAAAAGCGCCTTTCAAAACACTCAAGGACACTTTACAATCAAAACAAGAACAATAAAACCACAGATAAAATTATAAATAATAAAAGGAGAGATGAATTTAAACTGAATTTAGCGACTC